GAGAAGTTATTCCTTTGTCAAAGTGGAATACTAGGTATTTCAAGTCCTCCTAAGTTCTCACTGTGGAAAATCTGGAGTCCTCTAGTGGCTCTTTTAACACTTTCTCATGCCTTCTTAGCATCAAATCTGGAGGCATTACCATAACTCTACTGTATAGTAAAGCCTCACTTAAACTATGTATCATTAATTACTACCAGCTCCTAATAAATTTCTGTAGCTCCTCCAGCTTGTTTACCAAATGTCTTCTTCAACATATTTTTCCTTCCAAAGACACATTTCTGCATTAGATAAGAGTGACAGCCCACCTTAGCACAATTAATCAGAAGTATGCTTGCTCAGACTTACAGGTGTTACTCTGCATTGCTTTTGAGTTTTAAAAGCTTGACCATTCTTTAAAATAGGTATACAACCAGATTACTCTCAGACATGCCCACTTGTGCTTCCTTTGCTCCCTTTCTTCATTTCACACTGTTTTTCTGGTCTTGAGATCTCAATTTCAAGTGCAGAAGGGGAGGAAATAGGATGGGAACAGGCTTCTTTAAGACCTCATCAGTTTTATATACTGCTTAAGAAATGGTTTCTTTTCACATAAAAATATGGTGCCCAGCATCTGAAAGAGAAAGCACCTCCTCAAAAGGAGAAGCAAACAGGGAAAACAACAAATTCCCAAAAGTTTACAGACAGAAGCAAAGCACCGTGTAAGTATCCAGTAGAAAGAAGAGGAAATAAGTAGAAAAGAACAACAGATGGGACTGAAGACTTTACATATGTTGTTTTATTGTGTTGAGAGATAGTTCTGTTAAAAATAAAAGGAAGAAACATTCCTCAGAGGGGAAAAATGGTAATGGTTTGCAGCAGTAGTGGAACACAAAAGTCTGGTTCACACATCCAAGCTTAAGTAAACCTGTTCCCATCATACACCAGGGAACAGCTTCCATCTTGTGTTGAAAAAGGTACAGCCAAGAGGGAGGAAGTCATTGCTTAAAGGTCTCATATTTGTGCAAGAAAAAACTGTTTTAAAATTCAGATTTAATCTAATTCTACCTGGCCATGCAGATAATCTGTCACGGAAAAAAAAAGAGGACTGTAAAAGAACTACTGGTGTTTCAGCCATTAAGTACCAGATATTACTCCAACTTGTTGTTGGACTTGCTTTCCCTATAACAAAATGTTTTAATAGTACTTTTTTCAATTTCCCTTCCCTTCCCAAACCTTCCCTTCCCAAAACTTCCCTTCTCCTCTCCCTCCCCTTCTTTCTCTTTCTCTTTCTCTTTCTCTTTCTCTTTCTCTTTCTCTTTCTCTTTCTCTTTCTCTTTCTCTTTCTCTTTCTCTTTCTCTTTCTCTTTCTCTTTCTCTTTCTCTTTCTCTCTCTTTCTTTCTCCTTCTCTTTCTTTCTCTTTTTTTCTCTCTCTTTCTCTTTCTTTCTTTTTCTTTCCTCCAAGTGGAGAAAATCACCTTCTTGAACATCTGAATAGCTCAAGCTTTCCAAATAAAGGGAAAGTGCATGCTCAAGGCCCTCACCTTGGGAATGACCCACTTATAATTCAAGGTGTGACCTTATGATTCCTGATTAAGCCCTGAAAAAGGGGTCACATACAGACAGAGAGAAAGTGCACATCCTCAGTATAGATTATGAGATTTGCCTCTGTAAAAAAGTCTTTTTAATCCTTTAGAAGTTAAGATGTCTGTATCCATCACCCATCTTATTTTGTCTTAGTCAGTCTTATGCAGAGATAAGACTATCTGCCCTGACACACAAAACAATGTCTGCTTTAATGTTCTGACCATGGATTGCACTTGAATTGCAGAGCTTTCCAGCTACACTGGTGCAGGATCAGAACTGACGTCATAGGCTCAAAAGGAAATTTTCAGGTGCACTCTATTGATCAACAGACCTAAGGTCCCAATGTCCTAAGAAACTCTCGCATCTCACAACTCCCATCATTTAAGTGCTTGGGAAACTCTTCTTCCAGCATGTAGCAGGTATTTCTGAAGTAGGCCAGCCATATGGTGGAGAGAGTTTACAGATGCTGACTCTACTCACAAGAATAAAAACGAGTTGCTTGAGTCTCTCACTTTATGAAGGTGATATGTGCTGTGGTTTTGGAGAAGAATAAAAACAGGTTTTCTGATTGATAACCTGTATTATACTTGCCTTTTTTTCCCCTTTTTCTTAATATGAATTACAGAAGTCTTATTTAAATGTAACTGATTTTCTCCATCTCAGAACAAAGCAATTCTGGTAAGTGTTAATTTCCTCGCACTGATCATCACAAATTTACTGTCCAGCAAAAAGCTCAGATACAGCTTTTAGTCTCTTTGCATATTCCTTGAAATCCTTACATGATTTACAAGCCATTATATTAATAGTAATTACTTTTATAGAGTTGGTTTGTGGAACTCTGATTTTATGAACAGTTAGATCCAAAGAATTTAAGATCTTCTGTGTAATTCCACTGTATTCAAAATGCAGATAATAAATCACAAATTTTTTGCTCAGTATGGATACTGTAAACTATTAAATGTGAATACTAGTTTGTATTACTGAAAAAAAAGTAAAAATATATTTTCTACAAATACACAATGGAGATAAACTGTATAAGCTTAACATTTCCCCCCTGTGACTGTATGTACTGCTTCACAATGCATATGGAAAACTAAAAAAAAATAAATGTCTGGAGCCACAGGCATAGAGTTTAGAGCACTGTTTGACAGAAAGAAAAGATATTTGATCAAAATACCAACCTCTGAAGGTAGAGCCAAACAAAAGCAGTGGAACAAAAGCTGGCAAAACCCAACAGAACTGAGGGAACTAAAGAGCTGGCAGAGATTTAACTGAGCTGCTGTTTTGTGCTGGTGGCGTGCGGGGCTCAGTCTGGTTTTCAGTGGTCTCACAGGTGCTGTCTGTGCTTCCCAGAGGAGCCCAAGATTCTGCCCCTGACTGTCACAGCCCAGTTTGCTCCCAAGAGCTATTAACTCCACACATTTGTGGAGGGTAAATTGCCTGCAGTTTCACAGATTCACAGAATATTCTGAGTTGGAAGGGACCCAGAAGGACCATGGAGTCCAACTCTTGAATGGCCTAAATGGGGATCGAAAGGGGATCAAACTCATGACCTCGGTGTTATTTTTGAGCCTTGCCAAAAATGGGTGTCTCATCTCAAGAAACTGCTGTAAGGACTTGCTCCTTTGCCTCATTGCAAATTGAAGGTGGAGGCTGCTTTTAAACCAGAACCCAGGAGTACTCTTCAAGTGTCATAAATGCAAACCCAATATTTTCTGACACTTTGGGGAGGTGAGGGATTTTGTCTGGAATATCAAAGGAACTTTTCTCAGTTAACATATAGCCATGTCACAAATACAAGAATGTTCTGCAGTTATATCTTCAGTTTTTCTGCCGCTTCTCTTAATTTTCTTCTACTCCCCCCTTTTTTTTTTTTTACAATATTCCTTTTATTACCTCTCCCTGTGCCCTACTTTCTTCCTTTTTCTGTACAACTTCTGTTCACCTCTTCCCTTGCTACTCTGCTCTTCTGCCTCCAGAACCACATGGGCCGTGGGAATACTTTCCTCAGCAGAGCACCCTGGGCTCTCATGTGTGAGCAGCAGTCTGCCTTGATTTGGCTTCTACTTTTAAAGCATTTCAATGGTCTGCTTTGCCATAATCCCCATAAAATAATGCATGCCAAGGTAGAGAAATTAATTTTAATTGGTGATTCAGCCTATAATGACTTCAAAGGGAATTTAGAGATTGAATTGAAATTTGAAAAATATAAGTGTAAATATCACTGCTCCTTAAA